TATATATATATATATACCTCAACAGTCCCTAGACCCAAGAATAAGGTTCACTTTGATAGCAGACACAACCGCCATCCAAGTCCCCAATGCTGCCCACTGGCCTAATGATGATGTTGATGATGACGATAACGACGACGATTATGATGATGATCATCATGATAAAAAATATGAGGTTTATGAAATAATCTTTTTGATTTGAACAACCAATCATTGGACCAGAAAGTGGCGATTTTTAATGCCGCAAACAATAACAATAAGTTTGAACCTACTGTATGAAATTGTATCAGCTAGTATGGATAAAATAGTTATAGTAGTGAACAAAACCCAACCCAAATAAATACATAGATAACTATATCCAACATGAAAAATGGTTTCATAAAATATCTTCATTTTGTAGTAAAGCTAATAATAATTCTAATACTAACATCACTAATTCTAAATAAATATAATTAGTATTACAATAATAATAACGATAATAAAATTATGAATTTAAAAAACAAAAATAATATGATAATAGTTCGTCAGCTCAGATTAACAGAATTTAACATTAACTATTATTTAATAGTAATAAATAATTATGATTATAATGATAATGAAATAATTATATTATCCATATCATTCGATACATAAAGAACTTATACAGTACTAAATTAAATAAAACATTAACCATGAATAGGTCAGTCTGCAGCCAAACAAGTCAATCATTAAGCTTGTTACGTGTAAAGCATTAAAAAGTCGGCAAAGTATCCCTGGTAATAGAGCATATTAGAATTGAGTGACAGGTCTTTTTTCAAGCCACGTTGCAATTCGTTCTTGCGAAGCCACTCGCTTGAAGTGCCCTCTTAACTTTGGAAAATTCTTCAGCGCGACATCTTCGGTAATAGTACCAACTACATTCTCCATCACGGCAAACGTGACTAGGTCTGCATAAGACATCTGAGTGACAAAAATAGAAAAAAAATAATATGAGATTCACGTGTCGTATTAAAATAGAAAATGGTAAACAATAAAGGCCTGTTTACACTGACGATAACGATCAACGATAAAAAGCTTAAAAGCAATTGTTCATATAGAAAATAAAAGAAATAAGAGAAGTTTTCACACTAACCATTTATCGTGTATATGATCAAAAAATAATTTCACAAATCAAATCAAATGACGTCATAATCATAGGAAAACGATAAAATCGTTTTTACTACAGTAATACGATTTTATCGTTTTCCTATGATTATGATTGATTTGATTTGTGAAATATTTTGTTATACATTTGAAAAAGCAAAAAAAAAAATCAGATATACTTGCCTGGAGATTAAAATTCGTGGTTGGAGCTGTGCATGCTTTTATCAGGTCAATCGACGTAAACCTATGTTGTGTGTATAGTGTTTATGTCGATTGACCATCATACGAGCATTTGCGGTTTTAACTACAAACTGGCTTATTGCATGCTTTACTCAATTTTAAGGTCAAATGCAGTAAATTTACAGATACAGATATTGTACATATGAGGGCGTTTGTATTTTTATTACTTTTCTTTTTTTTTTGAATAACTGAACGCCTGACGTTGTTCGTTTATAAATTATAGCAAGGGTTCTCCTTGTGTTTTAGCTGGAGGGCTGAAAAACAAGCTACGATAGCGCACCGCCTTTCGGATAAGACGTTTTAGCCGTTGGTCCCGTGACGTGTGCGTTATGGCCAGTGTGCACGTTAAAAAGATAAATATTATTAAATAATATTAGACTTACCGAATTTCCTACGAACCAGCCTTCCCCTCCATTGTTCTTCTTTAAATACTTCTCCAAATGGCCGAAGAGTTTGGGGGCTAAGTTCTCCGATAAATCAGTTACTAGCTCTTTCTGTAAACGGTAAATAAAGCAAATTAATGTAAAAAAAAAGAAATCAAACTTTCATTTAATACCTGATTTATTTTTCCTTTTTTATCTTTTTTTTTTGTAAAATCATTTGTATTTTTAATAAAAATGCTTATTTGCTTACAAAAGTGGCGTTTTTCGAATTTCAAATTTAATAAATAATGCAAATAAAATGATTATTAAATAGTATGATCTTAATCATGGTGTTGTTATTTGTTGACATCGCGCCATGATCTTTTTCAATTTATAAATAACTTACCTTTGCTTCCGGCGTTTTAGCGTGAAAGAGTGAAGCAAACATGGGTTTAAATTCCCGAGCGGTTTCATTAACAACATCAATAGTAGCAGTTTCCCAGCTGTCTGAGCCATATAAACCTATATTTATAGGGCAAACATTATATAACGTATTTATTTACATATTTAAAAGTATAACATATGTGTATGTTATACTGTGTTATATATATATATATATATGTGCCTATATATATATATATCCGTATGTGTTAATTTATATATACACGTAATATATGTATATATACACACATTGGCTTATATATAATATATATTCACATAATACTGAAGTACGTTTTGTTAAATATATATGTACATGCAGGTATATGCATACATATATATATATATATATATATATATATTATGTAATAATAATATTTATTAATAATCATCAAACCAATCATTTGAACTTAATTAAACTAAACTAAAACCAAATATTTGATAATACTTTTATATTATATTATATTATATTATATTATATTATATTATATTATATTATATTATATTATATTATATTATATTATATTATATTATATTATATTATATTATATTATATTATATTATATTATATTATATTATATTATATTATATTATATTATATTATATTATATTATATTATATTATATTATATTATATTATATATACATGTACATACCAATGTGAACAAATATACTATATTAAGTACCATATATTTGATACACGTTATTAAGTACGCCTATTGTTTTTATTATGTGAAATATGGCTCTTGATGCTCACGTTAAAGTTATTATATCTGGAATCAACTTAGACAATGTAGCTTTCTAATTTATGCTATGCAATCTAATACAATCCACTGTTTACGCTATACATTATATTTTTAAATTATTCATTACAACAATTCATTAGATATTTAAATATTTAAATTATATTGTTATTTAGATAAACAAAAATCCAATAATTTGTTTATTCTATTATATTACCATTTTTAGATTTCATTTTTTACAATGGTTTATATGTTATATTATTTCGTAGATGTTAATTTAGTATTCTTGATGGTACCCGTATATTTTGTTTGTAAAATCTATCGTAAATCGAAAGCATTGTATACAGTGATAGTTACCGAATTCACGAGCGAGATAGTTTTCGATAGCACGAGACTGTGGCATCGGTTCTCCGTCGTCGACTTCCAGTACCGGAAGCTGCCCGAAAGGCATAGCTGGAAATAAAATTGTTGAGAATTATTCAGTATTAAGAGGTCATGGTGAATTGCTATGTTAACTGTTAACACTACTGCTGCAATATATACAGTATAAAATGATGAATGTACATAATTACTTGTAATATATATATATA